CACAAAAAAGCCCCAAACAGATGTTTCATTTTTAAAGCATCTGCAATGTGAAAGAAGCAATTAATTTTATCAGTTTTGCCTATTTTAGGCAAAAGGAAGTATTTTTCAATTGATGGAGTCTTTGGGAAATAGAAGTATGTTAGTGTAAATGCTCTATCTCCTTTTCATGCAGCTCGTTAGGGAGTTTCTTGGGGTTAGAGTACCACAGTTACAGGGGCTTTTTCATTTCCATGCACCTTGCTTACTTGTAATAGGGACAGCATTATTTATTTATTGCTTTCYCTGTGGGGGTGCTTAGTACTTTGCTGGTAGATAGCAAGGCAATAAATGGAGCTTGAGAGATGTGTATTTTCCAAGAATCTTTGAAGTGCTCTCACTCAATTATTCAGTATCTTTAAGGTTATGCTTGATKCCCAGTTTATGTCTGACTTGATGCAATGAAACTCTTTCCTTGCAGCAGTTTAGGTTTTCTTTTTGATATCTTGGAAAACTAAATTTAAATATCTCCAAAATACTTAAAAATCRTACAGACTTGGCAAAAACCAGATCATTCATATATCTACATTTATGTCTCCTCTGCATATRGCATTTAATGTCACAGTACTGTTGATGCTGTTTTCAAAAGGATCTAGCACCTGATCTACTGATTTACTGAGGTCTGTGGAAATATTACCAAGAACCTCTAAGAGTGAAAAATTAAATCTGAAAAATATGCATTTTGGAGTAAACAACCATACCATTTTGCATATAGCATCATTACATTTGCATCCATGGGAGGATCACTCTACTGCATGAGAATATTAAAAGACATTTTGTGTATTAACTTATGTCACAGTGTGCTGGTGACTTGACAGTACCAGCACTGATATCACATGATAGTATTTGCCTTTTCAGCTTAGTAAGCACCAAATGAGCACTTTCCATAGCTGAGATGTTTTATCCCACTTTGGCACAGGGTAATGGATGAACACGAGTCTTGTAAACTTGTTGATGGTGCCCCACTTTCTATTCCCACCTTACAACAGACACTATAGCAGCTGTGAGCTGCTTCGAAATTGGCCTTGACTTTAAAGAAGACATGGCTGCTTTGACTAAAGCAATAGATAGGAAGGTGTAGGTGAAGATTCCAACATCTATATTTGTTATATGAAGTTTTGCTTCACATTCATTTTCTTATGAGTCAGGATGCAATTTGAAGCCTCTATGAGAAGAGGTATGGTCTTTTTTCTGGTATTTAGCTTCTGAGTGRTGAGAACACTTGGCTAAATTCAATTTTTATGTTCAGATCTATAAATAGCTCCTTGAGGCAGAAAAGCTATAACTGAATAGCCCCGATGGAAAAAAAGAAGAAAACATATTCAGGTTTATTTTCACTTAGGTGAAACTTAGATATATGGCTTCAACAAAGGCATCTATTTCCTCCTACTTCAGTGTAGATTAGAAGCACTCAAAGCCTTTGTCCATTTTTTGAGTTAATACAAACATTATATTGACAGCTGGGCAAAATTTATTTTAGAGAGGAGTTTTGTCAAAAGGCAAAGCCCAGAGTGCGTCTCTTGCAACTTGTCAACCTGACCTGAATTTTCTCTCTGAAAAATTCTTAAAACTTCAAATTACAGAACTCCCCTACTTTAAAGGAARGGGTGTCAGATACCTATACAGCACCTGCATTGTGGCTAAAAGCTAATYTAATATAACAGCTAGCACCACAAAATGCAAAAAATTCTATGAAAGAAAGTACACTGACCCACTGATAAAAAATTTGACTCAATTCAAAACTTATAAAAAATTTCCTAACTTTCCTTTGAAAAACTGTTCTATCCCTATCCCACTTCATAACTAGCAARCAGTTTCTTTTAAATTCTTTGAGAAACCCTTTGTGTGAGTTAAACACGGTATGTATCTTTAGAAAGAGGGTGCTGAGTAAAGAGTAGACTTTGAGAGCAGGGGCAGGATTGAAATGGAAGTCTCTGTCTTTGAGACCCTTTGTGAAGCAGCTGCCTCTGCATAACTCCGTGCACCCCATTGTTCCTGTGTAGGTCACACTGCTTTCCAAACTATTCCCCTATTCAGCTGAGTATGTGTGCTTCTCCACAAGGGAAAATGAGGTATGGATTAGCCTCAAAGAAGTGATAAAAAAATAGTAGATTTTTAAGACTGTRTGTCTGTATTTGTTAGCACCAACACCACTCTTTCATCTTTTTCCTTTTGCGAGATGGTCCTGTAGAGTACAAAACCTGCACTGCTGACTGATGGCACTGCTGGAATGAGCTGGAGGAAATTTAAAAATTTGGTCGCTTTTCTTCTCCTATGAGATAACTAGGGGGGKTTGTTTTCCCTGCAGAAGGCTGTACTGCATGTTCTGTGCTTTGCAGTAAGGTTTTGCAACCTTCTCAGATCCGTTTGCCAGCAGGCTGACTGAGCATGCCAAGCAATGTGAGTCTCGGGAATGGCAAACCACTCAGATTCTGGGTACACTCAGTGAGAAGCCGGCATGAATAATGCATCGCTGTTGAGTGGGGAAAGCGCTCGGTCCCTTTGTGCTGTGCTTGTGTGGTGTGATAAACCTGCAGCAGGCAGTATCTCTAACGCTCACATTGACTTGCAGCATGAATGGGAAAGCACTGCAGATCGGCAAGGCTGTTAATGGCTTAGAGAATTCAAACGAGTTTAATTAACAAGAATGGAACAGGATATTTAGAAAAACCCTCTTCCTGATTCCTCCTCCCTTTTCCATACCCAGASACACTAAGCCTGTTGAATACACAGTAACGCGGGGTTTATGGAATCTGCAGAGGGAAAACCAGAGGCCAAAAGGCAGGGATTTCCCTCTTGGAGAACTTACATACCCTTGGCATTTCTAGCAGTGACTGCACAAAGCAGCTCGAGGCTGTCAGGCTGGATGCTGCAGCTGCAGAGTCACAATAGCCAGGCCCTTTAGAGCCCTGGGATCTGACATCTCACCTGCGTTAAGCAAAGACATTTCCAAACTACCTCCTCCTGTCCTCCAAACTGCTGGGTCAGTGCAAACACTGCCCATGGAAAGTTTATGATTAAATAAGTGTAAACCTTATATTATRTTTACATACATATTCCAGTTTTTCCAGATAGTCCTGATGATAACTTTGCACGCACACGTGACATCCAACATCCCTCGCCTCATCATTCTATTCCAGATGGAAAATGGGCAAATGGGGCCAAAACAGGTACATCCGATTAAGCTACAATTTTGAAATGTGCTCCTGTTTAAAAATGAGCATTAGCTTCTTTGTCCAAGATCAAACCACCTGGTGGAAGAAGGCTGAATATTCCAGGAAATACTGTATGTGTTTTAAATTAAAGTATGTAACGTTTTCACATCACTTCCTCAAACATTCAGCTGCCTGAATATGTGTTTTCCTCTCTCAGACTGACTCTTCAGAGGTATCAGCATTTGCTGGTCATAGAGTTTTTATGTTGGCTCTGTCAAAAAAAAAAAAAAAAAAAAACAAAAAAAAAAAACCCCAAAAAAATCTCAACCAAAACGAACAAAAAAACCACAAAAAAACCCCAACCCAACCATATTTGCAGTCCTTGAGCTTTGTCCAGAACTGAACTTTAATTTCAAAGGAAGTCAATTCTTGCCCTTTCACTCCACTTCTGGAAACATTCATTCAGTGACTGAAGTATGGGCACACTCCATAATTTGTAGCTCATGATTTTTGCAGCCAGGGATCAGTGATTAGGACTTGGAATTGTTAGAACTTCTGAGATAGTAGGGCTCATTTTGCTAAACATATCTTAACTTTCTTATTGCTTTTCATTATAACATTCTAGTATAGATTTGAATTTGGTTGAGATTGTCTTCTCCAATGAGCTCTGATTCTTCCCTTCCTTTTACTGCATATCTTTGCCTGAGTGCACTTGTAGTTAAATCTGCCCTTTCTCCAGCTCAATCATTGTTTGCTTTCACCTTCCAAATGTAAGAATCTGCTCAGCAGTCACCTGTTAGCCTATACACCYGAGGTTCTAGTTTTATGGAGGTTGTAGTATTGCAAGAAACTACAATTGAATGAAATTACCAAAGTAGCCAATTTTTAATAGCATCAGCCGCAAGGTAAGAATCCATATGGAGAGCAGTAAGTGGGATGTAACTTGCCAGGGTTTAGCTGCTAAGATCTCTGTCACAATCCTCTGTCACAATCTTCACTCTTCTAATGTTTAGATGGCCAAAATCTAATGTCAGTTAAGCCTGAAATTTAAACTAACTGGAAATCTGGGAAATAAAGGTTTAGAGACATGCCATGTGTTCACTGAGCTTAATAAGATTTATAGTATCATGTACCATCAGCATTGATTTTCTGTTGAAACAAAATAAGATGCTCCTCTGCTGAAAGCTGATTATACTTATCAAGTTCAGCATGTATAATTTGGTCTTCCTAAAACAAAGTCAAAAAACTTCGCACCTTTTCTATTTGTAAATATGAAGCAGCCTGGTTTGACATGTGCTTCATAATGTAATGAAAAGAAACATTATCTCAAATGCTCATACTTATCATGTGCTGCAGGATCGAGAAACAGATAAGCAGGTTCCGAGGATGGTTACCCAGAAAGCCAATGAAACTGGACAAGGACACACTGCCAGATCTCGAAGAGAATGACTGCTACACTGCTCCATTCAGCCAACAAAGGATCCATCAGTGAGTATTCTGTCATATCACTATTGCAAGGTGAAAACTTTTCCTTCTGGATTCACCTTGGAAAAAAATCGATTTCTTAGTTTGTGTCTTGAGGACTAGTGACTTCATATCAGTCCTTTTTCACAAAAAGAGACAGATAGCAAGTCTACATTTCTATTAATTAAAGGTCCAGCTCAAAGCTAAAGGAAATCAATGGGAAAGTTCTTTTTAATTCACTGGAATTTCAATTACGTCCTTAAAGTATTCAAATGGCTATTTTCTCTAAGGTCAGAATTGCAGTTGTTCTTTTTCACTTAAAGATGTGATCAAAACTTCTTTTCTCRGCATTTCTATGTCTTTAGCATAACCAATATTAGTCCTTCACCACTGATGGTTGAAATACTGATACTCACAATTCATTCCCAATTATTACTGTAAAGCAAATAGAACTTTAAATAAAACAGACACTGTCTATTTGATTGCATTTCTCTTTCATTTTATGGAAGTAAAACTGCTTGAAAAATGGCAGAGTTTAGACCTATCAGTGACACTTTTCCAAGCGTACGAATAGTATCAGTGTTGCACAAATATCAGAGAAATCATTTGACTACAAGAAGCCTATATTCACCTGCAAAATGCAGAACCAAAAAAAAACTCACATAATTTTTAGAATATGGAATTTAAGGGGTATCAAATTTTGGATGTCTTATGGGTAGTTAGAGTGTCTGTGATATGGGAAACAATTGTTGACAGAGGGCAAAACAGGCAGCACTGATGAGGATGCTAAAAGAAGACACAGAATGAATTACAGGTCCCTCAAAATTCTGAAATAGGTGGTTTTATTCAGGGAGAGACCAAGTTGTTAAAGCTCTGGAATACCTCATTTTGAATGAATAATTTTTCAGGGATTTGATTTACTAGCTGCAATAAGAATGAATAAAATAAACCTCTGCCACAAATGGCATCTTTCCAAATACAGCAGAAGAACAGGAACAGGTGCAAAACTACAGGGAAATTTCAATAGAAGACTGATACAGAGTGGATCAGTCATTGTGCCCTGCAAGAGGAAGAGTGGGTACAAATTAGTTTGAGAATAGATCAGCAATAATAAAAAATTAATAAATTGGGAGTCAGCTTTAATGTTTGTAATATTAACTGCTAACTTCCCTTAAAATTATTGCACATAGGAAAGGGTTTGGTGGTTGTTTTCAGAGGCTTTTTGTGGCTGAAAGGAGTATTGATATATATGAACCAGAATATTTTTTTTCATTCCTCTGCCTTATTGATGTTTGTTTGGTAAACCAGCAGAAGTTTATTCAGTAGTGTTAGTTTCATTAACACTCCTGCTGTTTGGCACTTCTTTTACATCATTACAGAACTTGGAAACTTTACTCGTTGGCAGGCCTGACATTTTCTCTTTAGCTTTCTGTGTGTAATCTTTCTTTCCTTTTGTGTGGGGGCTTATAAGATGTTGGCTGAACTGGCCTCCTTCTCCCAAAAGAAGGCCAGCTCTGACAGTAATTGTGTTCCTATCGTCCTTCAGCCTGTTGCCTGTGTCTGTCTTGTTTTATTTCACTAGAATTTTGAAACGCAATGGCTTGCTCAAGAGTGAGGGAGTGTGTCTAGTGAGTTGCTTGTAGATGTTTCAATTTTTAACGCAGAGAGCCACTATATTGTTTTAGGAATGTGAAGATAAATAATTACTGAAATTCTTGAGATGCTGGAAAGAAGAATTGCCCTCTATAGTAACGTTACAGTACTTTGGCTTGCATTTTGTCAGTGGTAAGAAAAGTCCATACATTTTCATATTTGGGACAGTTAAGGTTTTAGTAGAGTGCTCTTACCATACCTTATTGCCAATACAATGTAATAACACTGGAGGCTGCTCAATTGTCATGGAACTTGTGGAGTTCAGTCTTCAGCCAGTACATCACCCTGTAGGCTGAGACAACCGTGACAATCCCTTTCCTACTCTTGGGCCTTTAGAAGTGACTCTGCATCCTCTTCCATCACACAGTTGTGCCAAAACTGATTCTGAAAGAACAGCTACAGGACAGGAGGGGACTCAGCACCACACCAGTGMTCAGCTGGCTGACCTCAGTGTTGTCTAAGACTTTTCATTGAACATATGGGCATCTTTTGAGCAAAGGAGAATGCACAACAAATGGAAGGTTTTTAGTGCTTTTGCACTGCATTAAGGTGGTAGCTGAAAAATGTCACTAGTGTCTTCTTTTTGGCAGAACTTAAATACAGATTTTGAGTTTTAAGATTGTGGTAAAAGCCATAAATTTTTCCTGCTGATCTAGAATCCTAAGTGAAAGGAAGAGATGAGTGGGAAGTACATTCAACTGTTCTTTAAGAAATACCCACAGGAGCCTAAAATACATAATCAATCTTTTAATTACACTAATGAGGATTTTTCAGGCTATTGTACAATTATTTCTGGAGAGGAAGATATGTGCTTTTGGCAGTTGAAAATATTTTGGATTTCTGTGTTGTCATAAATCACTGTTTATGCAAGACATGCTGAGCAATTGCTTAATGATCATGAGGTAAATCACTCATAATTAMAACAATCTTGGAACATAAAACTCCATATCCTTAATTTTCAAATAATATCTCCATGGCCTCACAGTGGATTTTGCCACATTTCATACCTGGAGGCTGCCCAATTCTACCTTTTTTCCTGGTTTTGTGTGCCTTTCATTTTCTAAAATATTATTCCTTAAATACTCATATGAACTTGGCTAGGTTTGATTTTGCCCAAATACTGCAATATTGCAATTTGATCCTAGAATTCCTTATTTCTTCCTTTCTTCATAGCTTCACCTCATCAAGGAGCAGGCAGTTTATTTTTTGTGATCTAGCCAGTTTCCACAGGGGGCTCTAGTCTGATACAGATTTTATAACATGATCTGAGTATAATCTTCATTGTGATAGCTTCTTTTGAAAGCATGGAAAGACAACTGACAAAACTTACAATTCCATGTCTGGGGAGGAAAATAATTTAGAATAAAATTTGACCAGATTTTATTTCCATAGGAATTAATGTTTTTAAAATATTGATGCACAATGAGCACGTGCAATTTAAGTAGCTCAAATCAATGGTCTTTTTCTTTCTTGCATTTTTCTTTCCCATTCAGATTGGAAAAGGCCAGATGTGGAGAAAGCTGAGGTTTAAAAAAAATTAAGTTATTGAGGTTGCTTTAAGAGGCACAGCTAGCCATCTGTCCTCCTTCCAAAACAGGAAAAAAAGAATGCAAGAATGACAGTTCTGAGATGTGGCTATAACTTTTCCAGAATGGCATCAGGCTTTCTTTTAAAGCAATTTTGGCATACATCATACAGTACATCACAAAATTGTCAGTACAAGAGAAGGTCAAAATTCATCTCATTTGTTAAGTAATAGGAAATCTCTTTTTGGAGGAGAGAAGTTCTGCCAAACACCTTTTTTGTTTTGTTTTTTTTTTTAAATTCTGTGGAATACAAAATTATAATTTTTAAGATAGGCTTCTGAGTAATGTCTAATTTGTGCAGCCACAGATTGGAAAAGCCTATATTTATATCAAAGCATTTCTTCTGAAAATTATCTGTTACAAGAATGTACAATATGTGAAAAATGTTTACCATCATGTATACTTAGCTGTTGTTCTACTACATCGTAGTTATTTTATTTAGTCAGCTGCTGGTCAGTTGGGAATAGTAACAGTAGCAATTAGCTGAATTTCTTAGATAACTAACTAGGAAAATATGTTAATTGCTGTTTAGAGATTTCGAACTCTATATCAGGAGCTATTTACCCCTTTGTTTTTTCTTTCAAATGCAATAAACTCTCTGATTAAATATTAATCTAATATGTAATTGAATAAGCACTTAAAATAAATATTTATTACTTAGTGAAAATAAGATTAAAAATTTACTCAGTTTGGAGGAATAGGATAGTAACTTGATTAATTAAGCAAAAATGGCTCTGTATGCCAGAGGTTAATGGAGTGATTCTCATTTGTACGATGTCCCCTTGTGGTACACGAGTCTTGTATCTTTTCCAGATTCCCCAGACATGTTTCTCTTGGGGTGGAGCTACTTTTCAAGCTTTTTCTGATGTTCAAATTGATCTTAACAAGCCCCATTTCTTCCAAGACAACCTGTGCCCGTGTTCCCCTGAGCCACCTCACCCCAAAATCATGGATAGGTCAGGGAGCTGCTGCAGCTGGAGACATGGCACAGGACACTGACCTGTTTTGAACCAGGATGATGGTTCTGGCATTTAAATACACCTACAGTATAATAACATACATTTGTAAATGGCTTTTTATGAATGGGAAATCACAGTTTTGTAGATCCTRCTCTCAAAAAAATCTTTGTGCTACCAAATTTGGACATGCCCTGCAATTGGTTTTTCGTAATTCTCTCTGATTCTGGAAGTTTTAATTGCCTGGCAAATAGAATGAGGCAGGGCATCCCTGAAATGTATATGAGGCCCCTTCTGTCTCAGGTGATTATTTCTGAGTGAACCAATTTAAGTCAAGAAATGATCTGAGGGGAAAACTGATCTGGGGGGAACGGCAGAGGAAGTCTGCACTTTCATGATTATTTTATTTTGACCATTTTGAGGCTGTGATGTGCCAAATTGGAAACAGAGAGAGCCACTACAACATTCTTCATCACAAAGTGACCCTGCTTTAGGCATATGATATGAAAAACCCCTGTTAACCATTAACAAAAAATGTCCTTTTAGATAAACAAGACAGCTGCAGCTGTAAAGGACAAATGAAAATWAGCAAGTGCTAGTAGTATACCCATTTTCAGACAAATAAAGTAGAGAGATGTGTGGTATTGTTCTCCCTGGGATTCTGCGGTCTCACCTTCTTGCTGCTGCTACAGCTGATTATTTACTTTCTCTATGTTAAATGAGCTAAAACCCTGTTATTGCCTCAGCCAACAGCAGGTATCACTTTCAGTGATTTACCTGAGTGTACAGAAGACTGGTCATTTTTCCCAAAGAAACACTTTCAAATGTG